TCACCCAGGCTGCAGTGCAGTGGTGTGATCTTGGCCCACTGCAACCTCTGACCCCTGGGTTCAAGCAATTCTCCTGCCTCAGCCTCCTCAATTAGCTGGGACTACAGGCACATGCCACCACGCTCAGCTAATTTTCTTTTTTTGTATTTTTAGTAGAAATAAGGTTTCACCATGTTGGCCAGGCTGGTCTCGAACTCTTGACCTCAGGTGATCCGTCTGCCTCAGCCTCCCAAAGTGCTGGGATTACAGGCATGAGTCACTGTGCCCGGCCCCTCCACTTTTTCTAACAAGAGGTATAGATAGCATAGCCTCTCCCACTTGGAGGCAGAAGGTAGGCTGAGCCAGGATAGGCTACTGACTCCCCAGGAATTGTATATCATCAACTTCTGAACTGGAACAGAATTTGGCTTGGAGTTCCTGCCTGCCTTGCCCTGCCCGCTTACCTATTGGGAGGTCCTGCCCCTTGGTTACCTGCTCGGCTTGTCTACTGCTTTCCTAGTTCCATTCCTCCACGCCTTCCACCCCTGTACAAGATCTGATGAGATCTTGTTTCTGATCCCAGTTTGTCTCCACCCTTTCATCCCTAATACACACTGTCTTCCCAGCCACCTCCCTCTAAGAATCTCCATACATGGCACCAGTGAGATTTGTTCTTGCAGTGGCTATCTGTTGGTTTAGCTGGTCCAGCATCCATGTTTTCACCTCTTGATGTCAACATCTTGGTATGCCTTTGGGGAACACCCTTCAGCTGCAAAGATGCTCACATGATCTGGAAGTAGAGCCCATCATTTTGGCTACTGTGATTGGTACCGGGAGGGTCATGTGACTTAAGCTGTACCAGTGAGAGTCAGACCTGGGACTTTCACCAGGAATGGAGAGAATGAGGTGCTCGCTTTCTGTTGCAGCTTCTGAAATGGGGTAACCCAATCAATCCTTGGGCTTCTGGGGGTCGTGGTATGAAGAGCTCCTACCGGGGATTGAAGCCACCAAAGAGGAAATCGGAGCCTCAAGATGGCAGGGCGGGGGCAGAGAAAAAGATCCACTAAGTGCTATGCTTCACTTGGGTCCTTAGATTCAACTGCTGTAAAAGCCCAGCCTTGGTGGTCAATAAATCCTGTCATCTCTTTTTCTCTTCAGTCAATTTGCCTTGGGTTTTTGTCATGGCCAACCCAAATGATTCTGACTAATGATATGACTCCTGTCCTAGGGGTTGGGGGGAATCTATTCTCAAGGCCAGTTTGGATGTTCGGGAGCCTAAGTTCCTGGAGTTTCAGGTTCGTACACCACATGGGGAGAGATGATTAGAGAAGGGAAATTGGCCACTTTGGGATACAAGACAGGAGTGATTGAAGAGATGCTTCAAGTTCCAGTCACAGAGGATGCCACGTTGAGATGCTCACAACCAAAGCGTAGGGTCTATTGGGGCCTTTTAAAAAAGTGCTTCTAGGGCCAGGTGTGGTGGCTCATGTCTGTAATCCCAGCACTTTGGGAGGCTGAGGCGGGCGGATCACCTGAGGTTGGGAGTTCGAGATCAACCTGACCAACATGGAGAAACCCATCTCTACTAAAAATACAAAAAATTAATCGAGTGTGGTGGTGCCTGCCTATAATCCCAGCTACTCGGGAGGCTGAGGCAGGAGAATCGCTTGAAATTGGGAGGCAGAGGTTGCAGTGAGCCGAGATCGAGCCACTGGACTCCAGCCTGGGACACAGAGCAAGACTCTGTTCGTGTGTGTGTGTGTGTGTGTGTGTGTGTGTGTGTGTGTTGGCAGGGGAAGTTGCTTGAATAAAACTTGTCTGCACATCCAGGGAGCTCCCCGGATGAAGGCCACTGCTGACCCGAGACCTCGGGGGTGCTGGGGGTGGTCAGGAGGAGAGTGGTAATTCAGGGAGAGAGAACAGCTTGGGCAAAGGCAAGACGGCGGAGAGGGGGAAGAGGTGAGAGCTGAGGCTCTAAGGGCAAAGCAGGTGGTAAGGGTCGCCCTGGACTTTGCCAGGTAGGGGCCCCACCCAGACGAAGGGTGGGCGTCAGATTTTTTCTGGGAGAAGCAAACCCTAGTGGAGGCGCGGAAGACAGAGACCAATAGCCAGAGCTGCCTCCTAAACAGGTTTTCACTCCCCCCTCCTTCCCCATTTTTCTTCCTCCTCCCCCCCATCCCTCTTCTTCCGTTCTTTCTTCTCCCCTTTCTCTGCCTCCCCCTTTCATCCCTCTCTGCCTTCCTCATCTCTCTTCCTCACTCTTCTTTCCCCTTCTTTCTTCCCCCCCTCCCCGCCCCGCTCCTTTTACCCTCTCTCCTCCCCTGCCCTCCTCTTCCTGCCCCCTTCTGCCTCCTTAGGGTCATAATCCCCCTGGGAGAGGAATGGAGCCTGCTCCTTGACCTCCAGCAGCCACAATCTCTCACAAGCTTATTTTGGCCAAGAGATGCCCCCGCCACCCCCATCCCCAGCCCCAGGAAGGGAGGCCCTGAGACATGAGAGCCAGGGGTGGGCCAGGGGAGCTGCCAGCCAAGAAGGGAAGTGAGGATTGAGCTGACTTTCTTGTTATTATTTTTCTCCCCTGGGGGCCACCAGCAGAGACTTCTGGGCTTGAAGTCTTTATAGATTCTCACTCCCTTGGCAACCCAGCGCTCCTGTCCAACCTGGAGTGTTTAATTACCAAGGAAAAGAATGATTTTTTTTTTTTCCCTGAGAATCCATTTAATTATTTGATTGCACAGTAACCAAAGAGTGTGAGAGGCCTGTAGCCAGAAGGGACTTCAAAGCATTACCTTGATGTTGCTGAGTGGGGCATTAATGGGTTCTGAAGGCAGGCGATTGCTAAAGAGAGGGAAAGTATTCAAAGCGCCTCGCCATCCTGCCAGCAATCTCGAAAAATGCATAAACACTGGAATGCTCCGTCGGAGAGGGAAGGAGAGTTCAAAGGGACGGGGAGAGTTTTCATGTAAAGTTTGGAGTTTAAGGCGTGACTGTTGGCTATGGAGACTCAGCGTTTGAACTCTTGTTTATTAAAAACAGTTTCCCAGCCATTCAGCAGGTTCCCAAAGACAACAGAGAAATGCAGACTTTTGCAGGGAAGAAGGTTTAAAGGCTTCATTGATTCCTACCTAGGGTTTTCCCCGCCTGCTCTTTTGTGTGTGTTTGCTTTCTTTTCTTTCCTTTTTAAATTTATTACTATTTTTTTGATCAAGTTTTAAAAGTTCCACTATCAGAGGGAGGAGGGTGAAGAGAGAGAGTTCTCCTCCCCAGCCCCACCCGGGAGAGCTGGTTGCCCTGCCCTGCTGTTGGCTGTTGTGCCAGGAGGCTGGGGACTTTGCTGGTGATGCTCCCACCTCCAGGTTCTTTTTTTTTTTTTCTGAGACAGAGTTTTACTCTTGTTGCCCAGGCTGGAGTGCAGTGGTGTCATGTCAGCTCACTGCAACCTCTGCCTCCCAGGTTCAAGCGATTCTCCTGTCTCAGCCTCCCAAGTAGCTGGGATTACAGGCACCTGCCACCACACCCAGCTAATTTTTTTGTATTCTTAGTAGAGATGGGGTTTCATCATATTGATCAGGCTGGTCTCAAGCTCCTGACCTCAGGTGATCCGCCCGCCTCTGCCTCCCAAAGTGCTGGGATTACAGGGGTGAGCCACCGTGCCCAGCCCCACCTCCAGCTTCTTTAGAGGCAAAGGGTGCAGGTTGGATTCTGGGCCCAGCTCTGGATCGCCCAGAGGGGCTGCTGGCTGTGGGGTTCTCCACTTCTCTCTGCTCTTCCTTGTTTGCCTGGGGAAATGGAGACAGCCTAGGCTCTCCTGCATACACCCTCAGATGGGGCTCAGAGAACGCCTGCGACTTTCCAGGTTTGATTTCCAAGCCTAGGGACGGGGGCTGGTTCCTGAAATCCCATTTGAAAGATGGTTTTTAGCTGGGCGCAGTGGCTCATGCCTGTAATCCCAGCACTTTGAGAGGCCGAGGTGGGTGGATCCCTTGAGGTCAGTAGTTTGGGATCAGCCTGGCCAACATGGCGAAACCTCATCTTTACTAAAAATACAAAAATTAGCCAGGCATGGTGGTGCGTGCCTGTAATCCCAGCTACTTGGGAGGCTGAGTTGGGAGAATTGCTTGATCCTGGGAGGCGGAGGTTGCAGTGAGCCAAGATAGCACCACTGCACTCCAGTCTGGGTGACAGAGTGAAGCTCCATCTCAAAAAAAGAGAAAAAAAAGATGGTTTAAATAAAATCCATAGAGGAACCCTCAAGCCATAGAACTCTCTATGGCTCCCACCTTCCTCCCAAGCTTTAGGAAAAGCTGAGTCACACTTGGATATCTCGTCCATCTCCTTGTTCCCCAAATAGGAAGAAGTGAACTTTGCCTCACAGGCCAGTATGGCCCCCAGAAAATGAGAGACAGTTCAGGGCAGAGCCACTTCTCATGGGCAACTCTGGCCTCTGGGGCATGTTTCTCTCCATCCACCCTGGCCTTACCAGCTTGGAGAAGCAGCCAGGGAGGAAGGGGCAAGAAGCCCTGGGCAGGATGTCTCAGCCCTGCCTGGCGCTCACCTTGGGACTTGTAAGTAAAACACCTCTGTCTTCCCCAGCTCATTGCAGGATGACAGATATCTCAAGCACAACCCACAGGGACTGTGGCCAAGCCCTCCCTGAATGAGGATGCCTCTGTCCTTCCTTTGAGATCATGGCTAAGATCCCACCCAGCTCTATACTATCATTCACCTTTATTCAAATGCAAGGAACAGGTTTTTAAACTAAACATTTTGTTTAACCAGAAGCCCCCATGCTATATTACAAGTTTTTAATTAAAATACCATGTGGGACCTATTCAGACTCCCCACCCACACCCCCTTGGCTTTTTTTTTTTTCTCATGGGAAGATGGATCGTCAGGGAAATTCCAACTGTCTTTATGACATAAGCGGAAAAAATCATAAATTTAAAACCACAGCGTTCATGTTCACACCCATGTGCATTCTCTCTTCCGTATGAATTTCACTTCTTTCTGAGTCAGAGGCCGTGAAGTGCCGGCAAACACTTAACGCCTGGCTCTCCGGGAGAACAAGCCCTGATGTGTCCCATTTGCCAATTTCCATGGTGTAAAGACTTCCACCATGGTCGGATTACAACCACCAACTTGAGGTCACTAAACCGGGAGTTTGGAAGAGAAGCCGGCGGTCAGCTCTCAGAAGCCAGTGCCAGCTTGCTCCAGCTCACCCCTGAGAAGGACTCCAAAACTGGTGAGTTTCTGAGAAGATTCCCACAGAAGCTACCCTCTCTTCACAATACCCTCATTCCAAAAGACTGCACCCTAGCTAAAAGGCTAAACAGTCTTTGTTTATTTATTTTTTGAGACAGAGTCTCACTCCGTTGCCCAGGATTGAGTGCAGTGGTGTGGTCTCGGCTCATTGCAACCTCTGCAATCCTCCTGCCTCAGCCTCCCAAGTTGCTGGGATTACAGGCACACACCACCACACCTGGCTACTTTTTGTATTTTTAGTAGAGACCTGGTTTCACCATGTTGGCCAGGCTGGTTTCGAATTTCTGACCTCAGGCTATCCACTTGCCTTGGCCTCCCAAAGTGCTGGGATTACAGGCATGAGCCACCACTCCTGGCTTTTTGGCTTTATTTTATTTGTTATTTTTTCCAAGATGGAGTCTTGCTCTGTCTCCCAGGCTGGGGTACAGTGGCACGATCGCAGCTCACTGCAACCGCTGCCTCCCAGGTTCAAGCAATTCTCCTATCTCAGCCTCCCAAGTAGCTGGGATTATAGACGTGCGCCACCATGCCTGGCTAATTTTTGTATTTTTAGTAGAGATAGGGTTTCACCATGTTGGTCAGGCTGGTGTCGAACTCCTGACCTCATGATCTGCCCACCTCTGCCCCCAAAGTGCTGGGATTACAGGTGTGAGCCACCGCGCCCGGCCTTTTTGGCTTTATTAAAGCATCAATGGATGTAGAAATAAAAGCATGAAGCATGTGTTATTGAAGCAAAGGTTATTAACACTCATTTTATTCTTTCTTTGCATCAGACACCGTGCAAATAACTGTGTACGTCTCCATACACTCACGTGTATGTATGTAATCGTATGATATTATAATACTATTGGTTGAAGGGGAGGTTTCTTTGTTCTTGCCACTCTGTTGGGTCCACTCTCCTCAAATTCCGATTAGAAAACATGGATTTGATATTGTGGGATGTGCGGGGTTTCCCAGTTGCTGTACCTAATGTCTCATCCCGTAAAGAAAATCGCTTCACGACAGAGGTTTGCTCAGGGTAATTTACGATTAAAATCATGCCCTTCAGTTAACTGATGGATGGGAATGAGAAGCCAAAAAAAAAGTATTTTGAAGTAGCATTCAGAGTCATTTTTCAAAAAGTCAATTTTTCCAAGGTATAATTTGTGTAAAATGAAATGCTTCCCTTTTACCACAATCAAGATCTAAAACAGCTTCTCCACTGTCATGCCCCTTTGTGACCAACCCTCACTTTCCCACCACAGCCAGTGGCAATCACCAACCTGTTTTCTGTCACTACAGATGTGTTTTGTCCAGGGTTTCTCAGCCTTGGCACTAGTGACATTTTGAGTCAGATAATTCTTTGCTGTGGGGGTCTGTCTTGTGCATTAAAGAATGTTTAGCAGCATCCCTGGTCTCTACTCACCAGATGCCAGTAGCTTATCCCAACTTGTGACAACCAAAAATATTTCTAGACATCTCCAAATGTCCCTTGGGGGCCAAAATCATCCATTGTTACGAAGTCGAGAATTTCCTATGAATGGATCATGTAGCACCTACTCTTTTCATGTCTGGCTTCTTTTGCTCAGCATAGTTTTTGGGATTTATTGTACACATAGTTTGTTTCTTTTTATTGCTGATTATTCGTTCATAGTATGAATATAACATGTTTGCCTGTTGATGGACATTTGGGTTGTTTCAGATTTGGGGATATTATGAGTAAGTCTGCTATTTCATCCAGATTTAATCATCCATTGAGATGTTCATTGGGGCCAGGTGTGGTGGCTCACACCTGTAGTCCTGGCCATTTGGTAGGCTGAGGTGGGTGGATGGCTTGAGCTCAGGAGTTTGAGACCAGCCTGGGCAACATGGTGAAACCCCACCTCTACAAAATATACAAAAGTTAGCTAGGTGTGGTGTGGTCCATGCCTATGGTTCCAACTACTTGGGAGGCTGAGGTGGGAGAATAACTTGGGCCCAGGGAAGTTGAGGCTGCAGTAAGCAGAGATTGTGCTAGTGCACTCCAGCCTGGGTGACAGAGTGAGCCCTTGTCTCAGAAAAAGAAAAAAAAAGATGCTCAGTAAATGCCGAATGAACATCTGTTTACAAGTCTGTATGGCCATATGTTTTCACTTCTCTTAAGAGTGAAATCATTGGTTTGTGTGTAAGTATATGTCTAACTTTATAAGAAACTGCCAAACTGTTTTCCAAAGTGATTTTATCATTTTATATTTCCACTAACAACGTGTGCAAATATATGAGATTTCCAGTTGTCCCACATCTGCTCTAACATTTGATAAATTAAAAAAAATTTTTTTTTTTTTTGAGACAGGGTCTTACTCTGTCACCAGGCTGGAGTGCAGTGGTGCAATCTTGGTTCACTGCAACCTCTGCCTCCTGGGTTCAAGTGATTCTCCTGATTCAGCCTCCCAAGTAGCTGGGACTACAGGTGGGTACTGCCACGCCTGGCTAATTTTATGTATTTTTAGTAGAGATGGGATTTCACCATGTTGGGCAGGATGGTCTTGATCTCCTGACCTTGTGACCTGCCTGCCTCAGCCTCCCAAAGTGCTGGGATTACAGGTCTGAGCCACTGTGCCCGGCCAAGTCTTTTTAATTGTAAACATTCTAGTGCCTACGTAGTGTAGTACATCTCGTTGCAGTTCTATAATGATGACTAATGCCATTGATCACCTATTTGTGTGCTGTTTGTTGTTAATATGTCTTCTTTTGGGAAATGTCTGACCACATCTTTTGCTTATTTTAAAATTAAGTATTTGTTTTATTTTTGAGGTATAAAAGTTCTTGTATGTCTTGTTACAAGTCTTTTGTCAGATATTTGTATTTCAAACTTTGTTGTTGTTGTTTACCAGTCTGTGGCTTTCTTTTTCAATTCTTTAATGATGTCTTCAAAGAGTGCATATTTTTAATTTCAATGAAGTCTGATTTGCTCATCCATTTTTCTCCTCTCTGAAACTGCTTTCTATGTCCTTTCTAAAAAATCTTTGCCTGTGCCAAGATAAAAGAAAAAAAAAGTTTGCCTATTTTTCCTCTAGAATTCTTTGTAGTTTTAACTTTTACAAAGTTTAGCTCTATGATCAATGTTGGGTTAATTTTTGTATATGGTGTGAGGTAAGATTCAGGGTTCATTTTTTTCTCATGTGTATGTCCAGTTTTTCCAGCAGCATTTTTGGAAAGACTATTTTTTCTCTGTCAAATTATTTTAGCACTTTCATTAAAAATCAATTGACCATATATATTCAGATTTTTGTCTGGATTCTCTGGTATGTTCCATTTATATATTGATCTGTCTTTATGCCAATAGCATAGTATCTTGATTACTAGCTTCATAATAAGTTTTGAAATCAGTTTGGATGTAAGTTATCCAACTTTATTCTTTAAAAAAATAACTTGAAAATTCTGGGGGGTCAGTTTATGTCCTTTGCATTTCCATATAAACGTTATCATCACCTTGTCAATTTCTACCAAAAAAAAACCTCTGGGATTTTGACTGGGACTGAGCTGAATTTATAGATCAATTTGTGCAAAACCAACATCTTGACAACACCAAGTGATATAGTTTGGCTCTGTGTCTCCACCCAAATCTCATCTCAAATTGTAATCCCTATGTGTTAAGGGAGGGGCCTGGGTGGAAGGTGATTGGGTCATGGGGATGGATTTCCCCCATGCTGTTCTCCTGACGGTGAGCTCTCTCAAGATCTGATTGTTTCAAAGTATGGCACTTCCTCTCTCCCTCTCTCTCTCCTGCTTCCATGTAAGACATGCCTTGTTTTCCCTTAGCCTTCCGCCATGATTGTAAGTTTCCTGAGGCCTCTCCAGCCATGTGGAACTGTGAGTCAATTAAATCTCTTTGGTTTATAGATTACTTAGTCTTACTTATAGATTACTTACTATAAAGGTAGCATCTTTATAGCAGTGTGAGAATAGACTGATATATCAAGTCTTTCAACCCGTGAACACAACATATCTTACCATTTAGTTAGGTCTTCTTTAATTTCTCTCAATAATATTTTGTTTGTTTGCCAAAATTATGTATATAATTTTGTACATATTTTGGATATATTTTGTTAAATTTATCCCTAGGTATTTATGGATTTTAAATGCTATTATAAATGGTATTTTAAATGTCATTTTTCAATTGTTCTATGCTAGCATATAGAAATATAATTGATTTATCTTGACCTTGTGTCATATAACCTTGCTGAATTCACTTATTTCTGTTAGATTGTTAAAAACTTTCATAAAGATTAGCTATGTCTAAAATCATTTTCTGCATAAATGAGAACCTGCTATAAATGTTAAAGAAAAGTTATGAGATTATATACCCTTGCTCATTTCAGATCTCAGGTGGAAAATATTCAGTCATTCATCATGAAGCTTACTGCTGATGGTTTTTTGTAGATACTCTAGATTTGGTTGAAGGTGTCCCTATTTCTAGCTTTCTGAGGATTTTTATTATGAATGCAAGTTGTATTTTATCAAATCCTTTTTATATATCTATCAAGCTGACTACGTGGTTTTTCTCCTTTGTTGTTAATAGGATGATTAACATTAGCGGATTTTAAAATGTTAAGTCATCCTGTGTTCCTGGGATGAACCCCACTTTGTCATGATGTATTATCTATTTTAATTCTTCTTGGTTCAAATTCTAATACTTTGTTAAGGAATTTTGTGTTCATGTTCATGAGAAATATTTGTCTGTAGTTTTCTTTTCTTGTAATAGCTGTCTGGTTTTGATATCAGGTTATACCGACCTTATAGAATGAGTTGAGAAGAGATTTCACTTCTGTTTTCTGACAGAATTCAAGAGAAGCTGGCATTATATGTCCTTATATGTTTGATTGAATTTACCAGTGCAGCCACCTGGCCTGGGGTTTTCTTTCAGGGAAAATTTTTAATTAGAAAATCAATTTCTTTACTAGATGAGGCCTATTTCTGACTTCTTATTTCTTATTGGGCTAGATTTGGTGATTTTTGTCC